AATCTGTGCTACTCGAGGCGTTATTCTCCCTCCCCTGCGTCTGGGCGACTAATTCGAGGCTAACGCCTCTGAGTAGGTCTCATCGTCAAGCCTTTGCTAAATAGACCGAGTCTCTGGTAAAGCAGGTCTACTGTCAGCCAACTAAATCCAGTCTCCACCGCGTCTATCCTGTTCCTATTTGTGATGCCAAGTCTATGATTTGTTATGCCTTAGTCTCTTATGTGCTAACCCAAAAATGTTATGGTACTGCTTGCTTTAATTAGGTTCAATGTTGAACCATAACGTTTGTGGGTTGGCACACAAGAGACTAGGGCATAGGAAGTCATAGACTTGATATTATAGATATAAAGAGTATAGACGCGGCGGGGACTGGATCTAATTGGCTGACAGTAGGTTTTACCATTAACGTCTGGGAATGTACTGCGTCCGCGGTCCAAGTTTGGAAATGATCATGCATACAATGGACCCCGGACTAGGTGTGTTCCTCTAAGTCTTCCTACCAATATGACCATGTTGCGAAAACAAATGTTAAACAACTATACAACGAAACAGACTGCGACCACACTAAAGGTTACACCAATTTAGTCTTCACACCTATGGTATTAGAGTTAGTGATATTCCCAAGAAATAGTAAAACTTGATTAAAACACCTCAGCTCTTGTTCTATCCATAGCTTTCTAAATATAGTTAGTTATGCTAGTGACTATTTAGTGCGTTAACTTATTTCCTGTATAGTATTGACGATCTCATTCTTTTATATTTGATTGTTGGTTTCCCCTTTAGAGAGGCTGCTTATACTGTAAAAAATGACATTTGCTAAATCGAGAGATAATACTTATAATTTACAGTTTCCTGAATGACAGCTGTTCTATTTCATCATGATATGAGTAACTTGAATGGTAGCTGATCTGCTCGGTCACCTTTTAGGAAGTCAGACGTTTGGACATACGGCTATTAAAGTGGTTCAGGATATGTGGACTGTCAATACTTGAGACCACTCGTCAGACTGCCCACTCAGCAGCTTCATCTAGCATTCGAGGATCAACATCTGATCTTGGTAACTGAGCGCAGTTGACACTAACTTACTTAATTCATCCTTTTAAAATTTGTTTAACTATTAAGGTTCATCTTTGTTGTGCCGCCTGCAATCTCTTCTGGCGTTGGGCTAGATGTCAGTTCCCCTACTTACACTCGCGAGAACCATATCTCTGATTCTTGTCTACAACGCATACTGGCATCAGTTCTTCCACCTCCTTGTCGACCTCCTACACCTCTCTCCTTGCCATCTTCCACCCCGGCCCTCTCAGCGACTGGGCCTGGCCGGCCAACGGCCAGCATCGCAACAGCTGCCGGTTCGATTTCCCTTGCTTCGGGTTCTGGTAGGCCCGAAGCATCACTCTCTGAAGTTGGCCTATCCAGTTCAGGCGGGGACTCGAACTCGAACCAAGCAGAGGATTCAAACCAGATGATTGTTTCTGCTGAGCATGGACAGCATAAAGTTGAACTTGAACGCACTGGTCCTGTGATAAGCATCAATGCCTGGCTGATGCCGGCCCAACTGCATTCCATAATCAATAAGTGTCGTTTCCAATTCCCAGATCCCAGGCTTATACAGTACGACTGTGGTACGTTATAGTTTTTAAAGTTGTCCTCTATACACTTTTACTTTTACTTTTAAAAGCTGAATATCTACGACAATTAGCCTTCAATCATTTTCCTGCTCATTCGTATTTTTATATTTTAATAAACTTAGAATTTGCTATATATTTAATTCATTTTTCTGAGTGCTACTGTATGGATCACTTTATAATAAATTTTTTACCTTGCTTTTTTAAGCATTGGCCAATTTTTTTAAAGTCTCATGGTGGTGGTAAAAGCATAAATTTTACTAAATTTTGACTTTTTTTAATTCCCCTTCTATAGTGCCTTCTTGTTTAGGCGTGTCAATGTTCAAAACCTCTTTACTATAGACAA